CTGTCACTAAAGACGTAAGATGATCATAGTTTTCAATAATTCAAATTGTAATAAAAATTTAAAGATGGGATAGCAGAAGTAACAGCAAGATTAGTAACAGGTGAAGCGCAGCTTACAAATGGCTGAGAACTAAAAGATATTTAGGAAATCAACCGTTCGGAACTTAGAATCTACATTTTCCCAAAGAAACAATGCTATCCAGAGTCTTGGATTCTTAAGCTCAAGTATATTACATAATAATCACGTAACTGAGAGAAACCACCTATATTTCTAGATTTCAGAACCTTATAGATGAACTGACACAAATATTCGTCTTAACTAAAAACAGAAGAAAAAAAAGGTTCTATAAAATGTCAAGCACTATATAAGGTGTTCCCATAAGTCCATAACATAACTGAAATTGATATATCATGTCCTACCCCTGACCCTCTTTTCTCTGAAGCTTCAGATTTACCAAGTGTCTGAGAAAATGGAAGTTTTATGTCTCCAATAGTTGTGAGTTAAAACACTTCAATGATTTTTTTTTTTTTAATGTTGCCTCTGGCCAGGTGTGGTAGCTCATGACTGTAATCCCAGCACTTTCGGAGGGTGAGGCAGGAAGACTGCTTGATCTCCCAAGTTCGAGACCAGCCTCGGCAACATAGTGAGACTTACACTATAAATAAAAACAGACTTACAACAGATAGACTTACAACAGAAAAATAAAATACTGGCCAGGCATGATGATTCGCATCTACAAAAAATTTAAAAATCAGCACAGTGTGGTGCGCACACTTATATTCTCAAGCTATTCAGGAGGCTGAGGTAGGAGGACTGCTTAAGCCCAGGAGGCAGAGGCTTCAGTGAGCTGAGATCAGTGCCACTACACTCCAACCTGGGTGAGTGTGAGACCCTGTCTCAAAAACTAAAAAATTTTAAAACGCTCCCTTTGACATTGAGTAGTCTTAACAATGCTAAATAAAACTAAACATACTACATGTAATTTAATATTTGGATAAATTATACCATTCCCTACAGATATTACCTTAAACCAATGTAAAGTCAGGAAATAATAATGGTAACAGTAAGTTAACAATAAAAATAATTATAAATAAAAATAACAATTATAAATAGTTATAATTAGTAATACCTGAACCCTTATATTATGTTCTAGGCACTGTTCCAAGTGCTTCACATGTATTCTTTCTTTCAATTAATCTTAACAATATGATGAACAATCTTGTTCATCTTACATCTCATATAGATGTGGCTGTATGAAGAAACCACTATCACTATCACCATTTTATAGAAGAAAAAACAGATAAATAAAATACTGGCCAGGCAAGATGGCTTGCATCTGTAATCCCATCACTTTGGGAGGCTGAGGTGGGAGGACTGCTGGAGGCCAGGAGTTTGAGTCCAGCCTGGGCAGCATATCAAGATCCCATCTCTACAAGAAAAATTTTTTAAAAAATTAGCCACATATGTGTATGTGTTGGGGGGATGGGGGTGGGGGAGGGTATGCACCTGTAGTCCCAGCTACTCAGGAGGCTGAAGCAGGAGGATCGCTTGTGCCCAGAAAGTTGTGGCTGTGCTAAGTCATGATTGCTCAACTACACCACAAGCTGGGTGACAGAGCAGGACCCCGTCTCTTAAAACAAAAACAAAAACAAAAAAGTGAAACACTTTGTTTAAGAACATAGGAGTTTCAATTTTGAAATCGAAACTAAAAAAGCAAAGGAGGCTAAAAATGGTTGAATTATGGTTGAAACTGCTCCCGTACCATTAAAAAGAAAAAAGCGATTAAAAAACTGATTGTAAGCAACTTAAAGCAACTAAAAAGCATTAAGAAAATCCCTAAAATTTATAAAAATAATTTATCTTAAGAATCAATAAACATTTAAAATATTCTACTTGGTTTGGTTTTTGGGTGTTTGCAAGTAATTTCTGAATTTTACTTGGATAGTTAAAGACATTAAAATTTTGGAACAGAATGAAATCAACACTAATATGTTACTACAACCAACATTTAGGTGGGGTCATTTTGAAGTCATTAACATGGAATTTTTTTTTTTTTTTTGAGACAGAGTCTCACTCTGTTGCCCAGGCTGGAGTGCAGTGGTGCAATCTCAGCTCACTGCAAGCTCCAGCCTCCTGGGTTCACACCATTCTCCTCTCAGCTTCCCGAGTGGCTGGGACTACAGGCGCCCTCCACCACACCTGGCTAATTTTTTGTATTTTTAGTGGAGACGGGGTTTCACCATGTTGGCCAGGATGGTCTCGATCTCCTGACCTTGTGATCTGCCCGCCCTGGCCTCCCAAAGTGCTGGAATTACAGACGTGAACCACTATGCCCGGCCAACATTTAAATGGTTTTAAAAAAATGCTGCTATTTGTTTAACATAATAAGAAATTGACTTTTTTTTTTTTTTTTGAGACAGAGTTTCACTCTTGTTGCCCAGGCTGGAGTGCAATGGCACAATCTCAGCTCACCGCAACCTCCGCCTCCTGGGTTCAAGTGATTCTCCTGCCTCAGCCTCCTGAGTAGCTAGGACTACAGGCATGTGCCACCACACCCAGCTAACTTTTTAGTAGAGATAGGGTTTCTCCATGTTGGTTAGGCTGGTCTTGCACTCCTAACCTCAGGTGATCCACCTGCTGTGGCCTCCCAAAGTGCTGGGATTACAGGTGTGAGCCACCACGCCTGACCAGAAATGGACTTTTTTTGAATAATCTACAACATTAAGAACAAGTTAGAAGAAACAGTTTGAAACAGTCATATCTTAAGAAGAATGTCAATAAAGATACTAAATATATTCAGGACTTTAGCACCTACACTATTATTATTATTATAACAATTATAAAAAACAAATACAGCAGTAGCTAACGTTTATATAGTGTTTACCATATGCCAGGTACTACTATCATTTAACATACAGCATTGTCATGTAACTGTAACAACTGGATAAAGTAGGTGATACTAAGTCAAAAAGATGTCAGCCAGGTGCAGTGGCTCACACCTGCAATCCCAGCACTCTGGGAGGGAAGGATGGGCAGAATGGTTGAGCCCAGGAGTGTAAGACCTGCCTGGGCAACATAGTGAAACTCCACCTCTTCAAAAAAACACAAAAATTAGCTAGGCATGGTGGCACATGCCTGCAGTCCTAGCTGCTGGGGGAGAGGCTGAGGTGAGAGGATCACTTGAGCCTGGGAGGTCCAGGCTGCAGTGAGTCGTGATTGCACCACTCACTCCATCCTGGGTAACAGAGTGAGATCCTGTCTCAAAAAAAAGAAACAAACACTCAAAAACAATCACAACAGAAAAAGATGTCAACAGCTAGTAAGTCATGAAACATGACTCCTCTCTAGGCAGTACAGTCTGGTTTCAAAGTTTGTCTTCCTCATTAATAAGCTATATATATTTTTAAAAGTAGACAAAAATTAGTAGACAAAATTTTACGAATACAGGAAAATACAATTCTGTGCTCTTTATATGTCACCATGATATTTCTATAAAAGGCAAAATATATGATTCTACACCTCTAGGAATCATAAACTTGTCTAGCAGCAGAAAATGTGCAATATCAATTGACATTTAAAATGAGACCAGGTTCCACTGAGCTGGAGTTTAAAATAAAACAGAGACCAGGTAAACAGTTCATATAGTCAATTAAGAAATGGGTAGCAGATATGGGCATTTTCTCTTTCTTTTTCTTTTTTTTTTTACTTCAGTCTTGCTCTGAATATCTTACAGAATGCTTACTACTGTGTAGGAACATTTTTATGAGACTCTGTCATATATCAGATCATATAACATATAAATATATGAATACTTAATACAAACAGAAATTTTCAAAGGATTCTTTTAGATTACCTCAAAATCAGACTTTTGCAAATCAAACATTAATTATAACATTCAGCCAAAAATGCAATGAGCTTAAATTTGTTACAATGATAAGCCATTTCAAAATCCAAAGAACTAGTCAGGCATGGTGGTGTGTGCCTATAATCTCAGTTACTCAGGAGACTGAGGTGAGAGGATCATTTGAGCCAGAGTTTGAGATCAGTCTGGGCAACATAGCAAGACCCTGTTTCAAACAAAATGAAACGAAAAGCTTGTGCTCCTAACGAAAACTAGCTACATAAGAGTAGATGGACATACCAATATAAACTCATTATTCACCATAAAAATCAAATTTAAAAATTCATGTAAAAGACTTTTAGAACTTTCATAACAAGATAACCTGTTAATTTAAAAATCACTCAACATTCAAAACAAAATATTTAGAAGTTGTAATCTCAAAGAAAAACACTTAACATTTGTTATTTCACCACTGCTTTGTGTATATGCAGAGAAAAGTCAGATGAATGAGTGTGATTTTAGAGGAAAAGGAGGTACAGTTTTTGTTCCTCCGACAAACCCATTCACATTGATTGACCAGTTTAAATTTATACTTAAAATTAATACTTATGTTTATATGTACAAAGTTTTCCAAGTCTTTGGAAAGCTTTTTTTTTTTTTTTGAGATGGAGTCTCACACTGTCACCCAGGCTGGAGTGCAGTCTCATGATCTCAGCTCACTGCAACCTCCACCTCGGGGTCCAAGCAATCCTCCCACCTCAGCCTCCCAACTAGCTGGGATTACAGGCGTGTGCCACCACGCCAAGCAAATTTTTTTGTATTTTTAGTTGAGACGGGGTGTCGCCATGTTAGCCAGGCTGGTCTCGAACTCCTGACCTCAAATGATCTGCCAGTCTCAGTCTGCCAAAGTGCTGGGATTACAGGCGTGAGCCACCGTTCCCAGCCCAAATGTATGATTTTATATGAGGTTACAATCTGTTATTCATAATTCTGAAGTCTAAAAAGTTTGAAAAATTATTATTCATTTTGCTACATATATATTGGTTTTGATTACAGGATGCCTCAGATCCAGCTACTACATTTTAAAAATACCCTCAAAAGAGTGGCCCCAGGGATTTTGAAAAAGGCTGTATACATATATTCCAAATAAAAATGTTACCTGATATTCAGAATCCAATCTAAATGAAGAGTCTCTTGAGTGATAGGTATCATTTAAACTACTTCCTCTACTTCCAGACATCATCCTAGTGCTTAAGGAGCTGGAGGGTTGAACAGAAATTCTTCTTGGAATCCTTGAAGGTTTAGACTCCATTCTTATAGATTTTTCTGTGAAATGAAAATTTTCATTAATTGCCTTTGCCTTCAAGAAAGCCTTTAATGTTTAATCCTCCTTAATCATTAGCTCAAATAAAAAATTAACTCTACAAATTAACCATATCTGACAAGGTAAATTGTGAAATGATCACCACTTCTCTTCCACAAAGCAGAAGTTCATCAAAGGTTTTCTACCGTCCGTTAAAGGAAGCAAACAAACATGATAAAAGTGGAATGAAGCACTCTGAGGTCTGTTGTTCCCAAAATCTGGCTCTTTTCCTTACTCAATTTTGTCTATTACATATTCTACATGAATTTGTCCTTGACTCTCTTGGTATTCTCTATTTTTAGTGTTCAATGCTCATACCTGTTGTACTATTTGCATACCCTTTAACACAATGTTCTCACAAACCTTTGTATGTGCCTGGAAAGTCTATACATTACCCACCCAATTCTTGGTCACTGGTTTAAACACAAGTACCTTTCTTCTCTGCATATGTTTCTATTTCATACATACTTTTCATACTACTATGCATTTTAATTTGTTTACCTTTCTATTTCCCCATCTCAACAACAAATTTTCTAGGTCAGAATCATTTAAAGCATTTTAAAATCACTGCCTGGGATATGAATGAACTTTCTTTTTATTTACCACTCACAGTAGGATCTCTTAATTATAACAAAAATAATAGCAACAGCTGATATTTATTAAGTATTATATGCACGGTCTGACAGTAAGGACCTTCTGATTAACTGTTAGTTCACTGAAATCTGCAGACCAACCCTGTGAGACAGGTACTATATTATCTCCACTTTATAAATAAGAAAACAGGCACAGAGAGTTTAAGCAATTTGTACGTGATCACAGAGCTAATAAAGTGTTTCTCAAAATGTTTCCAAAGACTGTTTATGGTACCACTGGAAAATGATACTTTAAGTAAAAAAGTCAATCTATAAATCTACACATAGAGTATGATTCTATAAATGCAAATAAAATGAATAAAACTTCTAAGAAAAAAAAACCAAAATGCTAAATTTATTTTGTGGAACTGAGTGCTTTCCACTTTATAGATTAATAATTTCCAACTTTTCCTTACTAAACATTTCCAAACCCAGGACAAAAATAATGATTACCCATGCCTGATTATTAAATATATATAAATGGAATCATACAATAAGTACTCTTTTGTATCCAGCTTCATTTGCTCAACATTATATTTGTGAGATTCATCTGTGTTGTTGCATGCAGTTTTAAGTTCACTCTAATTTCTTTACATAGCATTCCACTATATGAATGCACACAATTTATTTTCCCATTCTACCATGAACGTACGCTATATTGTTTCCATTTGGGAGCTGTAATAGTGCTACTATAAAGACATTACTACTATAATTTAAAAAGCTTTTTTTTTTTTTCTGAGACAGAGTCTTGCTCTGTCGCCCAGGCTAGAGTGAAGTGGCACGATCTCCGCTCACTGCAAGCTCCACCTCCCGGGTTCACGCCATTCTCCGGCCTCAGCCTCCAGAGGAGCTGGGACTATAGGCGCCTGCCAAAACATTCGGCTAATTTTGTGTATTTTTAGTAGAGACGGGATTTCACCATGTTAGCCAGGATGGTCTCGATCTCCTGACTTTGTGATCTTCCCGCCTCAGCCTCCCAAGGTGCTGGGATTAGAGGCATGAGCCACCGTGCCTGGCCTTAAAAAGATTTTAAAATATTCTGAGGCAAGGATTTACAAGGCCTCTGACTGTATCTCATATAAGTGGAATCATACAATATTTGTATTTTCATGATTGGCTTATTTCCCTTACCCTAACGTCCTCAAAGTTCATCTATATTGTACCATATGCCAGAATTTCCTTCCTTTTTATGGCTGAACATTATTGCATTGTATGCATAGTATGCATAGTCATGCATCACTCAAGAACAGGAATACATTCTAAGAAATGCATCTTTAGGTGATTTCATCACTGTGCAAAAATAACTGTGTATATACACAAACCTGAATGGTATACTCTAATACCTGGATTATATGGTATAACCTATTGTTTCTAGACAGCAAACCTGTATAGCATGCGACTGTACTGAATACTGTAGACAACTGTAATACAATGGTAAGTATTTATATATCTAAACACAGAAAAGATACATTAAAAATAATTAAGAATAGTCAAATCATAGAGAAAGAAGATTGGTGGTTGGCGGGGGATGGGGAGCTGTTTAATGAGTGTGAAATTTTGGTTTTACAAGATGAAAAGAGTTATGGAGATAGATGTTAGTGATGCTTGCACAACATTATGAATGTATCCAATAATCCTGAATTGTACACAAACATGGCTGAGATGGTAAAATTTATGTTCTCTGTATTTTATCACAAAAAAATAACAGATTGGGGGGATGGTGCATGTGGTCGGACAGCAAGCTGTTGAATTAACACCTGTATCTGGAGCAGCGGAACCTCAGATTCTTCCCCAGTTCCATTCCCCTAAAGATAGAATATTTATTCTCTGGAGAATAAAGATTTCCTAGATAATACTCTTGTGTCCTCCACGCCTCCCATCTCCCACATACGACGTACAATCACCTCTGCAGGAGTTTAGACATGGGTCAGTCTAAGGAATAAAAGAAAATTTATACACTCACTATTGAGACCCAAAGACTCTTTCATGGTCCTGTTTCTACAATGCCGTCAGGAGACTAAGGGATTCTACTCTTGGATCACCAAACACCAGTGACAAGATTTCTGAATGTCATTTGAAATGTCTTCACTTCAATAGCTAGCCTTTCACTAAACCATTCTATCCTACAGCAAAGGCTGCTAGTCACCAAGAGTTTCTCATCAGGACTTTTAGTGCTTCCCTCTAACTGACAAACATCAAGGACTACCATGTAATCAAGGAAGGCCTCCAATAAGAAAGAAGGACCAAAGTAAACAATAGTAACAACAAAACTTTAAGATGCTGCAGGGAGAGGAAAATTTGGGGGAAAGGGGCTTATTTCTATCCTCACAAAGATCAAATAACATTCATTCATTGGGACGAAATGTTTGCAATCTACCCATCTGACAAAGGGCTAATATCCAGAATTGACAAAGAACTTAAACAAATTTTATAAGGAAAAAATCAAACAACCCCATCAAAAAGTGGGCGAAGGATATGAACAGACACTTCTCAAAAGAAGACATTTATGCAGCCAACAGACACATGAAAAAATGCTCATCATCACTGGCCTCAGAGAAATGCAAATCAAAACCACAATGAGATACCATCTCACACCAGTTAGAATGGTGATCATTAAAAAGTCAGGAAACAACAGGTGCTGGAGAGGATGTGGAGAAATAGGAACACTTTTACACTGTTGGTGGGACTGTGAAACTAGTTCAACCATTGTAGAAGACAGTGTGGCAATTCCTCAAGGATCTAGAACTGGAAATACCATTTGACCCAGTCATCCCATTATGCAAAGGATTAGACCCAAAGGATTATAAATCACGCTATTATAAAGACACATGCACAAGTATGTTTACTGCTGCACTATTCACAATAGCAAAGACTTGGAATCAACCCAAATGTCCATCAATGATAGATTACATTAAGAAAATGTGGCACATAAACACCATGGAATACTATGCAGCCATAAAAAAGGATGAGTTCATGTACTTTGTAGGGACATGGATGAAGCTGGACACCCATCATTCTGAGCAAACTGTTGCAAGGACAGAAAACCAAACACCGTATGTTCTCACTTACACGTGGGAATTGAACAATGAGAACACTTGGACACAGGGCGGGGAACATCACATACTGGGGCCTGTCGTAGGGTGGGGGGAGGGGGAAAGGATGGCATTAAGAGAAATACCTATTGTAAATGACAAGTTAATGGGTGCAGTACACCAACATGGCACATGTATACATATGTAACAAACCTGCAAGTTGTGCACATGTACCCTAGAACTTAAAGTATATAAAAAAATTCATTCATAAAATAAGAACAGGATGGGTGAGAATACAAAGACAGCATAATCAAGAGCTTATGGAAATTCAAAATGCCACATACTTGTTAAAATGAGATACACTGAAATAAATTCAACATAAGGATTGGGAGTAAGCTGCAGAAACCTCCTGGAAAGCAGAACCGAAACAAATAGCAAATGTAACATGAAAATAATTATCCAAAGTTATCATTTGACTGTGGTTACAGAAAAAGGAAATATAGTGAAAATTACCAAATAAACTTTTCTAGAAACGAAGAACAGAACTCTCCAAATTGAAAGGGCTCAACACTACGTAAGAAAAAAGATCAACACTAAGCACAATATATCACCGTGAAACTGCAGAAACCAGAAGTAATGGAAAGATCCTGTAAGTTACTGGAATGGAAAAAATGGGTCACATACGAAGAGAATGTAATCAGAATGGCTTAACAGCAACAATAAAGACTTAAGACAATGAAATAGTGCTTATAATACTGAGAAAAATGTTTAGCCTTGAATTCCAATCTTGCAAGTAAATTTGAAGTGGAGAACAGAACACGTTTTCAGACATGGAAGGTCTCAACAAAACAAAACGACCAAAAACACAACCAGATGAAGCTAAATGAAAAGCATGTCCTAGAAATAAGGGAGTGTGAGGCAGGAAATAACAAGATACGAAACTCAGGAAGGAGCAATAAAGGGGAAGTTAAGGAGGATGGTATGCAGAAAGCATGAGAAGCAAACAATTCAGACTGGAGCAGGACCTCAGGTAGCAGAAGTTCTAAGGAAAAAGAAAGCATCACATGGAAACTATATCTCATTGGCATGTGGTAGAGATGACGGTATAACTAGAAAAAAGAAGGTAATTTTAAGAATTAATTTTTTAACTTGGAAAAACTTAGCTGTTCATGAAAGGAGGCATGATTGTACTAGGTGAGCTCTTTAATATTTATATACTCATAATAATGTAAATACAGACTACTGAATCAATTTGTTACATATTGTGAGATGGAAGTGGGCAGTGGGAAATAAGAATGG